TATATATATATATATATATATAGCGACTACGCCAATGAGAAAAGTAACCACAGCGGGCACGCGAGATCATTTCTCGTTGGCAGTCCGTGAACCCAAAGTCCTTGCTGGTTTGTATCCTGGAGTAAGAGAAAAGAGGAGGAGAGAGAAGACGGCAGTTAGCACGCCCCTCTTGCTGCCACAACTGTGCCTTGTTAGCGGCCGTTAGTCTTCTCATATTTTCTCTCCAGCCTCATTCTCTCTTCTTTTATCGCTGGTTATTACTCATCTCCTTTTCTCTTATACATTGAGCCGTGCTAGTTCATATAGGGCCTCCGGAAGAGATTCTCTTGCAGCATCCTTGACACTCTCAGAGTCAAATGAAACAAGATTTAACTTGTGTGTATTGAGTGTAATTAATGTAATTAATAGTACAATAATTTCTTCAGTCTTGAATTTTAAAAATTTTTCAGAATTAAAAATAAATTTTAAAAAAATTTGGAAAATTCAAAAATGCACGCCTCATAATCTGATTTTTCACTATAAAATTGATTGAAATAAAATATAAGCAAAATAATAAAAAGAAAACTCTGCTATGGTTTAGTGGCGCCATAATTCTAATGTGAGGAAAAAAAAATATTGTAATAAAATGTATAGATAGATTTATAAAAAAATACACAGTCGTATATTACTTTTTTATAAATAATAATTTAACGACAGTGAATTGAACGCTCATATTAATTGAGCAAATCTTAAGTGTGTTACTTTAGATAATAAAAAAAAAAAGTTGTATCCTGGAGTAAGAGAAAAGAGGAGGAGAGAGAAGACGGCAGTTAGCACGCCCCTCTTGCTGCCACAACTGTGCCTTGTTAGCGGCCGTTAGTCTTCTCATATTTTCTCTCCAGCCTCATTCTCTCTTCTTTTATCGCTGGTTATTACTCATCTCCTTTTCTCTTATACATTGAGCCGTGCTAGTTCATATAGGGCCTCCGGAAGAGATTCTCTTGCAGCATCCTTGACACTCTCAGAGTCAAATGAAACAAGATTTAACTTGTGTGTATTGAGTGTAATTAATGTAATTAATAGTACAATAATTTCTTCAGTCTTGAATTTTAAAAATTTTTCAGAATTAAAAATAAATTTTAAAAAAATTTGGAAAATTCAAAAATGCACGCCTCATAATCTGATTTTTCACTATAAAATTGATTGAAATAAAATATAAGCAAAATAATAAAAAGAAAACTCTGCTATGGTTTAGTGGCGCCATAATTCTAATGTGAGGAAAAAAAAATATTGTAATAAAATGTATAGATAGATTTATAAAAAAATACACAGTCGTATATTACTTTTTTATAAATAATAATTTAACGACAGTGAATTGAACGCTCATATTAATTGAGCAAATCTTAAGTGTGTTACTTTAGATAATAAAAAAAAAAAATTCGACCAATTTCCCTGCACAGAAAAAAAGGTTCTGAGGCCAAATGGCAATATTTTTAAGATACAAATAAAAATAATATGTTAATAAATTACATCATTGATATTAGAAACACCATGAAGATAAAGTTACAATTAAAAATTCAATTAAAAATGGGTTTCTAACAACTATTTTTATATTTTTAAATTTAGTACCATTAATTAGAATTTAAATATAAACGAAGTAAAATTTAAGATTTTGTTATAATAACTAATATCACAGAATTAATAATTACAAATGACACTGAAGTTAGCAGACGTCTAAAAATGATTGATTTTTTTTTTTTTTAATTAAATTACAACTAAAAAGATATTTATAAAAAATTGCACTTATAGTTTTTTAAGTTTTTAACATATGATATTTTTTTTTAATTGTTCAATTGAAATTTTTTCGATAAAAAATTAATAAAAATTTTCAATTGTCAGCTAACTTCATTTTCATAATTATAATTGGTATTACAAAATTAGCTATAGATGACTCTAAATATACATAGAATAGAATTGTAGATTCACAAAAAGATTTATTAATTAGATTTTAGATTTATCTGATGAGTTCACATGATATGCTTACATGATTACTTATTAAATCTAGACAAAAAAAATAGATTAAGTTAAATCTGATGTAAGAAATTATTATGATCTCTTCCTTTAACTTTTAATTTAATTTATAAGTTAATTTTAAGACAATATATTATTTAAAAATAATTATAATATTAAATTGTTCACAATAAAACAATAAAATCATGTAAGTTGCTATACGGCCTCTGTCTTGTTATATGTTAATTAATAATAATAATAATAATAATAATAATAATAATAATAATAATAATAATAATAATAATAATAATAATAATTTTAACCAAATTAATTCTCTTGCTTTAACAAATACGTATCTTGATCCAAGAAAATTTATTTAAATCAAGAAAATCTTGTTTTTTTTGAGAAAATTTCTCTCTTGCTCCAAAAAATTAAATACAAAGATAGAAGGAAATTTTTATTAATATTTTTATTGATTAACATGTCAAATATTAGGAAGATCAAATAATATTTCATTCTGATTTTTCTCTCTGTGTATACTTCAACGCTTGGCTTATGAGGCGTGCAATTTAATAAATTTATTTTGTACTACATTTATTAAATTTTTAAATAAATGAAAGTACCATAAAATCCACATGTAGAGCATGTTTATGAACAAACAAAAAGGGAAATTTAGCGTCTAAAATTGACGTCTAGACGTGATTCAATTTTAAATTAATGGCTGTCGGGGATAATGATGAAGGAGTGAATGCAAAGCAGGTGGCGAAGGAAAGGAGAATAAGGTAGAGTGATGAACAGCACGAGAGAGGGCTGACCCCAGTAGTCTGTAGCTGTACCAGCACTACACCATCTACATCATCTTAGGGTAGAGTAGTAGACCTTACTCACAAACACCACCATCCTTACAATATCACACACGATTATTTCAATGAGAATGAGAGCAAGACCAAAAAAACCTCATACTTTATCGTTCATGTATGATTCAATTCAAATACGTCGACCAAAGCAAAGCAAAGCAAAGCTAAGCTAAGCAAAGTAATATAAAGCTCCACTCCATTCCACTCCACTCCAATTGTTCCTGCTATTAAGCTTATAAATAATTCGCTCTTGGCTATTGCTCTTTGATAAATATTAGGAATTTTTTATCCGTCTCTGCTTGAGCAAGCTATGGAGAATTACCATACACAACGCTTGGTATTGTATCTCCTGGAGCGGAGATAAGAATAAAAATAAGAATAAGAATAAAAATAAAAAGATACTTTAACAAAAAAATATTTTATGATTTTTAAATAATCTACGTGGACTTTAAATTGGATAGCTTCTGCACTGATAGAAGGATTTATTAACTATTAGTAATTTAATTTATTAAATTTTAATAATTATTTTTTAATATTCAATAAATATTTATTTGAGAGGAAAGTACATTTATTTAGTTAATAAATATTTTGTTGAGTTAATTTGTTTTGCTTGCAATATCAAATAATACGAAGATTGCTTATAAACAAAAATCATTCTTATAAATTATCTATATTATTAAGAATAAGAAAAATTTTATCTTCGGGGTATATAATTAAGGAATGACCTTGTATCTTGTGAACTACTGACATTTTTAAAGATATAAGCTCATTGTGACATTATACTCACCGAGACCTTTCATTTGAGTACCCACATCAATTTTTCATATATTTATATATATTATATATTATATATATATGTATATATGAAAAATATATCAAAAATGCATGTGGGTACTCAAATAAAAGCTCTTGATGAGTGGTATTCTAGGATGAGCTTATATCTTTAAAAATGTCAATATTTAAGAAAGTACATTGCAATTTAATAAATATCTTATGAAATATCGACATTTTTAAAGATATAAGCTCATCCCGACATTACACTCATCAAGACCTTTCATTTGAGTACCCATATCAATTTTTCATATATTTATATATATTATATATATGTATATATGATAAATATATCAAAAATGCATGTAGGTACTCAAATGAAAGCTCTTGATAAGTGTAACATCAGAATGAGCTTATATCTTTAAAAACGTCAATAATTAATAAAATACAGTGTAATTTAACAAAAGTCATTATTTTATAAAGCAAAATTTTTGTTTATTTGTTCGCAAATCACAGCAGTCACATAGTGACTGCAAGGATGCTAGTTTGCATTAATTATATTAAATTTCAGTAACTTATATAGTAAAATACCAAATTCTATCACAGCTCATAATTATCTTTTATATTTTTAAATATTGAAAACGTTAATTTATTTAGTGAATTTAATTATTATGTATTCCAGCTATAGGCTTATAAAAAGTATCAAAAGAAAATTGCTATTTTTCCTTTTTATTTCAAATAAATATTTGTTAACTGTCAACAAATATTCATTAACCATAATAAATATTTATTAACAGTTAATAAAGCTTATTAATAAACAAATTCTTCTATCAATGTACTTTTTCTTTTTCTATTATAATTTACTAATTTCTCTCAAAATTTTGTATTATCAAAGTATATAAAGCCAATTAGCATATAAATAAATAAATTTCAATCAAAACATAATCTAAAATTTGTTAATAATGAATCATGAAATAAAAAATCACCAGATAAAGAATAAACTAAACTAAAAAGATACTTTGCATTTGGAGGATTTGATTTTAGCGAGCGCATACACCTGAGAGCATTATTTATATTGTGGCTTGTTAGGAGGCTGGCAAGAAAGACGGAAGATGCCTTAGGGAAGAAAAAAAGCTAGGTATAAGCCTTAAAGAGGAAGATAGACAGAGCGAAGTAAAACGCAAGAGTAAGACAGATCTAGAAGGAGGGTCTACATTCCTGAGGTTCGGATCCCTCAGCCGTTCTGTTGTTGTTATGTAGTGATGTAGTGAAACGTTGCTGTATACAAGGATCCCTGTATAATATCCTCTGTCCTCTTCATTCTCATTTCTTCCTCTTATTTATATTATTATTCCACATCTTTCCTCCTCTGTTCTATTCTCTGGGTCTTTTTTTTTTTTTTTTTATCAGGATAGGAATGAATACACGTACCCCGTAGTAGTTTAGTATATTAGTAGACAAGACTCGGATTTCTAGTCTGAGCATTGTATTCCATTTGGTATATTCAACTATTTATATTTATATTTATATTTTCCATTTAACCTTGTGTTCTGCTCAGTCTACATCTTACTAGCTTTCATTTTTGGTAGTGCTACCTATATATCGTCGAGTTGTTCAAGTCCTTTTCCTTTTCCTTGTCCGGCTCCGGCAACAACGCACGTTTATGCTACGCTTCCAGCTTCCAACGGAGCGTATGCACACCTTACCACACGTTTTTTTAGTTATTCTTCAGCATTACCTTTTATGCCAGTCCTTTTGGTTGTAAGAACTCCCGAGGAGTCCTTTGGGCGGGGGTGCTAGCGAGGAAGTGATTAAAGTGATCCAGCTTTTTTCTTCTATTGTCAAACGATTTATTCACACACTGGAGTTTTATTTCCTACTACTTCCAAATTCACGCCAATAATGTTTTATTATTACTTTTATAGCTTTAATTTTAGAGCTAGAAATTTTATTTATTTATTTATATTCCAGGAGAGTATTTGTCAGTCAAATATTAATAGAAGACACAAAGCATGGATTTTAATCTTCAATAGAAACTCTAACAGCCGTTGTGTAAACATAGAAGCTATAAAAACCAGAGAGTTTACACGGACTAGTTTGCGTATAGTAGTCGGTCTATTGTATGTACCAAATTAAAATATGTTATTAGTATATGGAAAGAACAAGATGACACTGGATACTATCTCAGATACATGTAGTGAAAAAAAATTTCAGATTCACAGAAAGAAAAATTTCTTGGCTCAACAAAATTTGTCGGGTGTCTGAAGGAAGACCAAAATTGTGTTAGTGTTGGCTGAAGTTAAAATTTTTATTAAAATTCTATTCTTGGTGAAATTAATTCTTATTATCATAAATACTTTATATAATAAATTTTTATATTTTATCAAGATTTTTAGATACTTTAGGGAAGCAGGGCAACCTACTTCAGCTGAGAAAAAAATTTTCTCACCTTGAAAAAATTTTTCTCTTGAATATTTGATACCCTTTTTATATTTTAGCGTGCAATTATATATATTGAATGAAAAAAAATGATGAAATATTATTTGATCTTGCCATTAGACTTGTTAATCAATAAAAATATTAATGAAAATTTACTTCTATTGTTATACTTAATTTTTTAGAGCAAGAGAGAAATTTTCTCAAGACAAGAAAATTTACTTTTATCAAGAACTAAATTTTTTGGAGCAAGAAGCTGAATTTTCTCAAAACAAGATTTTTTTGACTTAAATAAATTTTCTTGGATCAAGATATGAACCTTTTTTTCTATGTAGTAGCTAGTATAATGAGTGACATCTGAATTATACTAGCTACTATCTGAATTTTTTTTCAGTCAATATAATCTGGAATGATATCCAGTGTTATCTTGTTCTTTCCATGTACTTAGATTGCTGGGTAATTAATTACCAATTAATTTATAAATTGCATTTTTAATTTTTTTAAATTTCTAATTGTCAATTTTTTTTGCTATAATTTGTTACAAAAATTTTTTAGACTATTAAATATCTGCTAAATTAATTTTCATATATATTTTATACTACTTTAATAATTAATTATTATAATTATAATTATTTATAATACTGAAATTAAAAGACATTTGATAGTTCTATTTAATAAATTTGTAATAAAAACTTTGCACAATTTTTTAGGCATAGAATTTTTTTTTTTTAACTTTTTAAAAAATATCAAACTTCAGTATTATAAAAAATAAAAAATATTGTAAATAATAATAATAATAATAATAATAATAAAATAACTTACCAAAAGCAGAAGATACGAGAGTGCACAAGATGTAGGCAGCGAGGGCGCCCCTCAGTTTCCCCAGAGCCATTCTAAACCCGTAAGGCATTTACGTTTTTCACATACATTTCTATGACAGGCGTTTGCTTTTTATCCTCTTAGAGTAATAACTTATTTTGTCGTAATTTAATATTATTTTTTTCAACAGCAACAAACATATATAAATTATCAACCGTCATGAGAACCTGGACAGTAAACAACACTCAGTCATTGAACAACAACAACAACAATAAATTTGTTGCATTACTCCGGCGTGTAATATTGACAAACAAAATAACAATTATCATTTATCATTAAATAAAAACATTCACTTGTTGATTTATAAGTATAAAAGCTGGTTATTTTTTATGTTAACAATTAATTACTGGCTAGTTAAAAAAATAAAATAAACAATCACACTTCTCTGCACCGAGAAAGTGAAGCGTCAATTGCCCATTGCCATGCTCGGCACGAACTGAATAGAGGGATTGATACTCGGACTCAGATGCTGGAGATTGCTGGCTCTACATATACTTATATGTTAAAATATATAGCATGATTCTGATGTATAATCAGAGCTGGGAGCAAGGCGACTTTTTACTACGCGTCAAGAAATTTAATTTAATGAATTTTCTTCATTATTTTTTAATTATTATTTTTAGGTAATTATTATATACCTAGTTGTTCTTTTTTCAAAAGCAAACTCATTTTTTTAAATTTTGTTGGCCATAAATCAGTTTTAAGGCTAGTTTTTAATGAAAACAGTCGCGCATGCGCAGTTTTTAAAAATATTTTTAAAAATATTTTTTTAGTTATAATTTAATAATTTAATTTGGGTTGCAATCAACTAGTCAGACTGACAACATTTCGAATTAATAAATTACTAGAACATAAAAAGTAAATATTAAATGTAATTTAAAATAATAAATTTTACAAATTTTAAAATTCCGAAAAATATAATCTTAAATAAAGAAAAAACTAAAGCTATATTAATAGAATCTTTTAAAGTCACAAAGTCTGAATAAATTAAAAAAAAACACAAAAACGAAAATTTGTACGCCAAAATGAATGAATAGACGAACACTCATTTAGCCCAAAAATGTAAATAGTTTTATACTTAGATCTTTGAAATTTTTTTAAATTAAATGAAAATTAAGTTAGCCGATAATTAAAAATTTTTAGAATTTTTTTTTAATGAAAAAATCATTACAAAAAAAAATTTTCACTCAAGTAAAAATCTTCAAAAACTATTAGTGCAATTTTTTAAAAATATTTTTTAGTTATAATTTAATAAATTAAGCAAAATAAAAAAATAAAAAATGTCAGCTAACTTTATTATTATTTAAATTAATTATTTCATAATTTACAGCTTGTAAAGGTTCGGAATGTTGTCGATCTGACTGGTTGACCGCAACTCTTTAATTTAATAATAATCTTGAACATTAATTTGTTTACAAATAAATTATGACATTATTGATACTTTTACTTTTTATTCAATAAATATTACTAAAAAATAAATTAATTTTAACAAACTGGAAATTGGAGTAAAAAATAATATTTTTCTTAATTTACTTAATTTTTTTTTTATTACAAAATTTGTTTTATAATTAGAAAAAAGTTACAATAATTTTACTTTTACATTGCCGCAAAAAATATTTTATTTTATTTAATAATTTTTATTACTAATTTTACTTTACGTTTAATTTGATTTATAGATAAGTGCAAATTAAATTATTGGAATGTTTATTTACTTAAATTAATATTTTTAATCTCGACAAATTAAATGTAAATTTTTATTGTCAATTGAAATGCAGCGTTACAAGTCTATTCAATTTACCCCGGTTCAATTCTACGACAAAATATCTATCCAGTGTTTTAATTACACTAAAAAAAAATTACAAGGTCTGAAAAATTAATCGATCTGAACCAGAGTAATAACATATATTCCGATAGGCCTGTAACAGTGCCAATTAAAAAATTAATTTGGCACTTTTATTTAAATTTGATAAACAAAAGTTAATTCCAAAAAATCAATCTCAAATATTAAATTTAAAATAAAAATTCATAAAAATTTCCAACGACTTTTTTTTCCTATTCATTAATGATATTATTTTAAATATTTTTAATTTTTTTTTTTTTTAATTTTTTTTTATATAAAAAAAATGAAGAAGAAAGAGATATTTGATACGACTCGACAAAATAAAATACATTTTTTTTATTTATATATTTTACTATTTTTTTTCTATGGAAATTATTTTTAATGAGATCATTTTGTCCTTAGCTTTGGCATTTCACTCACTATTTGTTTATCTTTCAATCTTATGTCTACATTTATTTTTTTTTTATTTTTCATTTTTAACTTTAACTCTAATTGTTGCAAAAATAATATCAATTGAGGCACACTTTTTTTTTATTAAAAAAAAAAACCTCGTGTTCCTGGTGATCTTTTATGTAAGATGTATTATATGCCTGCAGTTTTTGTTTAAAAAGTTAGTCATAAGTCTCTGATATTAATATCAGTTGACGACACGTCAAGCAATTTGTCCGATGGTTTTCTATAAAAACACGAATTGAAAAGTTACTTCAAGGGTAACACCACTGTTTATTTGAGTTTTTTTATTAAAAAAATTTATTTGAGTTTTATTGTCATTATATTTTTAATTCAAATTAAAATTTTTTTTATTAAAGTTGTTAAATTATCAAAAAATATAAATAACTAATTTAATGGGTGTTATTAATTTATTAAGTAAAATAAAAATTACCAATTTCTCCTCTTTGTTGAACCTCGTCAATTCTTGGTGGATTTGCAATTGGAGCTACATAGCGGCCAAGACCTTTTTATACAGCAAGAACGATAATTGATTAGTAAAAAGACTTTATTTTAATTTATATTTAAATAAAATCAAAATTACCATCTGGTCCTACTTGTTGAACACCTTGAACATCGACTTGTTGAACACCTTGAACACCGACTTGTTGAACACCTTGATCACCTAATTCTGGATCATTTTCTGGATCTCTGGATATTTGAGATAAAAAATCACAAAAAAAGTGTTTTTTTTTACGCTGAAACTCAGACCCCTCCCTTTTTAATATTTAAAATACATAATATATATGATTATGCTAAGTGCGCAGGCGCTAGAGAAAAAAAAATAGTGGAGATATCACTGGGTATAATTCAAAATTTTACTGAGTATAATCTGAGAATTAATCCAGTGTTATCTTGTTCTTTTTTTCATATATTTTTCCCTTAATTCCTCAATTAAGATTTATAATAAATCATTCAAATTTTTTGCTAATCTAAAAACTTTAATTCTAAAATTTCGACTTTATTATTATTATTAGAAATTAAAATTTAAAAAATCGGGAATAATAATAATAATAATAATCCTATTATTATTAGTATTATTATTATTTCAGAAAAAAAATTATATCAAATACACATTATTATTATTATTATTATTATTATTATTATATTCCTAAGAAAAAATTATGAGACATTTTTTTAGAAAATTAAATATTAAACAATTTTTATTAAAAAAAATTTTTTTATTTCAAAATAAAAGACCCAGTTATTGACACTGGCCTAGTTGTTTGACACTTGCAATTTTATTTTAATTAAAAAAATAAAATGTTCTCGAAAAAATTAATTATCTTAAAATTTATAACTAAAAAATTATATTTATTAATTATTAGATTTGATTTATTTTTTTTTTTTAATTAAAATAAAATTGCATGTGTCAAGAATTGGGTCTTTTACTTTACCAATATTATCCCTTTAGTATAAAAAATTGAACACCATTAATTATTTTTTTTTAAATTAAGGCAAAAATCTTGGCCACAGTCCTTATCAATAATAATAAAGTTAGCCGACATTTTTGATTTTTTTAGTTTGCTTAACTTATTAATAATAACTAAAAAATATTTTTAAAAAATTGCATTTATAGTTTTTAACAAATGAAAAAAATTTTTTTTTATAATAATTCTTTAATAAAAAAAATCATAAAAATTTTTAAATGTCGGCTAACTTTATTTTTATTCCTTATCAATCCTTCCATTAACTGGTTGTCAAAAACTCCGAAGGCATGTGTCCAGCATCTCCATAGCCACGCAATACAACTCTGCCACTAGGTTGAATAGAAATCCAGGTGATGCTCGCATGCTTGAGCGAGAACCTTGACCAGGCTTCTGGAGGGAATTGCAAAGCTCTGCAAACAAAGTACCTGATGACATTAGCATGGCACACAATTATCGTATAAGAATCCTTCTCCTGTTTAGGACTGGCGCGATGAAAGTATTTCCTAAAGGCAGCTTCGATCCTGGGTCCGTCTTGGAAGTACTGGATCCCGGGTCTCCAGCCGCCGAACGGCGGCTCGGGTAAAATAGGACAACCTTCAACCAGAAGACTGTCATCAACGACGGGTACGTTGGGCAAGCTGGTCTCTATAATCTTCGCTGTCTCTTGGGCTCTGGTCATCGTAGACCTGACGAGCTGAGAATAAGGCAGAGCCAGGTGCTGCAAGCGCTTGCCAGTACAATCAGCTTGATTTCTTCCCAGTTCAGTTAGAATTCTCTGGGTGTCCGTTGATCCACTTAAGTTATACTGTCCGTGGCGAATTAAGAGAACGTGTCTAGCTGCTCGCGGCTTGTGAGCCTCGATTTCGGCGTTGTACTTGTTCTCGTCGGTTATTGCTTCTAATTTTTTAGGCTTTATCAAACTTTTTGGGTCTCTGCGGTCCCAATTGCTGTCCCATTTTATAGAAGGTGTCAACTCACCTAAATAAATATATAATTTGTGTTTTGATTTTTTTTTAATAATTAAATTATAATAGAAAAATATTTTTTAAAAATTGCACTCATAGTTTTTTAAGTTTTTTACAAATGAATTTTTTTGTAGTAATTTTTTCAATAAAAAAAATTCTAAAAATTTCGGCTAACTTATATAATTTTCATAATAAATATATTTAAAATAGAGCTAAAAAAAAATTATATTATAAATAATGTTGATGGTTTTAAAAATATATATAGTTATTAAGAATGTATATATTTATTTATTATATTTTAAAGAAATTATTTATGTTTATATATATATATTGTAAATATTAAAGTTAGCAGTCATTAAATGATTTTTTTTAATAAATAAATTTTTTCAAAAAAATTTTTTTTCTACCTTTTTTTGCCATAATTTGTTAAAAAATTTTTTTAAATTATCAAATAATAAATTATAAATATTATTATTACTCACCAACTCCTGGGAACTTAGGCGTGTTATTGTACGGACTTTCGTATTGTTCTTTAGGAGACACGTAGCCGTTGTAATAAATAGCAGCAGCTCCACTTACAGTTCCAACTCCTAGAACAGCTGCGAATTTTTGAAATCTTGAAAATTTTGACATTTTTTATTTGATTTAATTTTTGCTGCCACGTGTGGATAAATATAACCTGATCTAATAAATTAAATCATTCCACTAAATCCTAAAATTAAAATAATAATTATTATTTTCTCTTTTATTATTCATATAAAATTAATAATGATACTAAAATTAGCTGACAATTATTAATTTTTTTAATTTTTATAACAAATTAATAACAATAAAAAAATTCTTCTAAAAATTTTAACCAAGAATTTTTTTATTAAATTTTTTTCATAATAATTTAATTGCTAAAAAATTCTTAATGTCTTTCAACTTCAGTGTCATAATTAATAAATAATAATTTTACCTTAAAAAAATATTTTTATATTTATTATTTGTTTAACTTAGACTAATTTTTTTGTTACAAAAATATAAATATAAACAATAATGACAACAGTAACCGAAGTGACTAGTAACGCCATCTTGCATTCTTTGCTTATTTTAGTTCTTTTTTTCACCACGTGGCGCAGCACGCTTTTTTTTAATTTCAGAAAACTAACAAACTAACCTCGGGACTGCAATACTGTAATGTGCGATTGTTTTGTTTTTTTTTTAACTGAATTATTGGAAAATAATTATTGTTGTGGATTGTTGTGTTGTAATAATTAAAGTTTGTAATTAATAATGGATGCATGTTTAAATTGTGGGGGTACTGAATTCCATGCGGAAGCTGGATTTTATTACTGCAATGAGTGTCACATGCAAAATGAGGTGATTATTAAGTATTTATGCCGGAGATTGTTTTTTTTTTTTTTTTTGTATTAATTAATGTGAATTAATTAATGTAAATTTTTAGACAAAAAAAGAACAAGATGTGGAGTTTACCCATGACTCGAAGACGCGTCTGACCTCAACTAGGATTCAACAGGCGAAAAAAGCTCTGGATGAAGGTTATTTCAAAATTTATAATGAAAATTAATTAGCAATTAATTTAGCAGATATTTAATCATTTTTAGAACTTTTATTAATAAACAAATTACGGCAAAAAAAAAATTGACATAGAGAAATTTTAAAAAATTAGAAATGCAACTTTTTAAAAATAATTTAATTGTTAAATAAGATTATAAATTAGTCAAGTGACAGCTAACTTTAATTTCAAATTTATAAGTAGTTTTAGATTTGATAATTGTAAAAAAAATTGGTAAAATTTCAAATGGATTTTAAAATAAAAATTTATTACACTAAAATCAGCTGACATTAAAAATTTTTTTTAATTAATTAAATTATAACTAAAAAAATATTTTTCAAAAATTAGATTTATATTTTTTCAAATTTTTAACATGTCAATTTTTTTTTTATATAAAAAAAATCATCAGATGTCTACTAATTTTATTTTCATAAAAAATTTGTTTTTTTTTTTTAAATTAATAATAATAAAATTTAGACATTAGATAAATTTTAAGACATTTTAACAATAATAATTAATAAGTTTCTCTTTGATCAATAATTTTCTAATTAAATTTCTATTATTCCAGAGGACAGACGTTTAACTTCCTGGGAGAAGTATAATTTCATTTTAATTGGTTTGACAAATGAATTAATTCAAGTGGGAGCAAAGGAAAACCTTAAAGTGGTAGTCGCACAACTATGGTCCGCTTACTTGGCGAAACTTGAAGTTGCTTTTGTGTCTACACATAGAGAAGCTCGTCCTAAACTTTCCAAAAAATTCGACAAAAAGTAGCAAAATTATTACTCATGTATTTTCCACAATATCCAAACTAATAATATTAATTTCTTAATTCTCAGAGATGCTGAAATTATTTATCAAAAAGTATTTGAAAAAAAGAAGAAAAAAAAAATAAAATATGCTGGTAGCGTAACTAGTGGTAGCAGCGCTAGTACGTCAACGTCTGTCCGACAAGTGGCTAAACGAAAGGTTTTTATCAATTTAATATTACTTTAACAAATAAATTAAATTGTTGCTTATTAAAAAAAATTTTTTAGAGACTGTTATTTGATTCTGACTTAAAGTCTCAAGTTTCGAGCACCACAGAAGCTGAGTCTAGTGTTGCAAGCCAGTCAAGTGACGGCGAGCTTTCGGATGGATCTAATTCTTCATCTAAAAGCGGACCTAAAGGACGAGGAAGGTTAGATAATATTTAAGATAAAATTTATATTAATATTTTAATAATTAAAATTATGAAAATTAAATTAGCCGACATGTAAAAATTTTTATAAGTTTTTACTATTGAAAAAATTATTACAAAAAAATTTCATTTGTAAAAAATATTTTTTCGTTTTAATTTAATTATTTAAAAAAAATTAAAAATGTCCGCTGACTTGAGTATAATATTAAAATTTATTATCTTTAGATTACAGTTCAACGCATTAGCAAGAGAAGAAATAAAATTAGTCACAGAAAAGGCTAAAAAAGTGCGAAAAAAATTCCGAAAAAAATTTATAGCTACTAGTCAGTCTCTCACATCTAGATATGGACCCGATATAATTACTCCGATAAAATTATGGGCACTTCTTTATTTAGCTCTCAGAATTAACAATGAAGATATTCATGTGTCTGATATAATGAGGTATTTATTTATTTATTAAGTACAAACTCCAATCGGCAATATACAATATTATATATTTTAACAGTATAAATATAAATGTAAGAGATAATAGAGATTTATAGAGGTATTAATTTATATGAACATAATTAGCTGAGTTTATAATACGTATAAGAGAAAGATTAAAAAAAAAAAATTGTAAAGTTTAACATGGAGGATATATAATACTCAATAATAAGTAAATAGCACATACTTAATAGTTCTTATGAAATTATCGAAGGTTCCAGACTATAGAAGTCGACTTGGTCATGCAACGAGTTTACAAGTGTTACAATCCAGTTCTGGGGTTCATTTATTACATAGTTTTTAATATAATTTACTATTTTAATTACATGTAATAAATTTAACATGTATTTATTATTTTGTAGATTCATTAGAGATGGACATTTATCTTATTATAAATTGGACCATTTTATCCCCTCGGATATAACCTTTACAAAAAAAGAAGCGGTTCGAATGAACACATTTCGGATGCTTCATCATTCAAGCTTACTACCACCCATCGAACGATTGAAAAAATCTTTGCGGGTTTGGAAGTTTCCGGAACCCAACTTACTGACATTGATAAAAAAATACTGTACAGAATTACAGTTACCCAGTACGTATCATGATATTGTAGTATATATAAAAATAGATGTGTATTTTTTTTTGTTTGATTAATTGACTGTTTATTACTATCTTAGACGGTGTTGTTCAGTATGCAGAACGAATTTTGGCAAAGTGGCCACCAGGACACAATTTTGACAATAAAAAGTACCATAAATTTCCTAACTACGAAGCCAAAGCCATGGCAATTGTTATCGTTGTTATGAAGATGCTGTTCGGATTGGACGGAGTCACCGAAAATGAAATGAGCCGAGTTATTGAAAGACTAAATGAGTAAGTAAATGTCAATAGTTCACAAGATTCAATGTAATTTATTAACTATTGACGTTTTTAAATATATAAGCTCATTCTGATGTTACACTCATCAAGAGCTTTCATTTGAGTACTCACATGCATTTTTGGTATATTTTTCATACATACATATATATAATATATATATATCTATATATATAAATATATAAAATATATGAAAAATTAATGTGGGTACTCAAATGAAAGGTCTTGATGAGTGTAACATCGGGATGAGCTTATATCTTTAAAAATGTTATTAGTTGACAAGATACAAGGTCATTTCTTTATTATTGACATTTTTAAAGATATAAGCTCATCTCGATGTTATCCTCTTCGAGACCTTTCATTTAAGTACCCACATGGCAATTTTTATATATTTTATATATATATGGTATTTGTGAAATATATAAATATATAAAAAGCTCTTGATGAGTGTGACATCGGGATGAGCTTATATCTTTAAAAATGTTATTAGTTGACAAGATACAAGGTCATTTCTTTATTATTGACATTTTTAAAGATATAAGCTCATCTCGATGTTATCCTCTTCGAGACCTTTCATTTAAGTACCCACATGGCAATTTTTATATATTTTATATATATATGGTATTTGTGAAATATATAAATATATAAAATATATGAAAAATTGATGTAGGTACTCAAATGAAAGGTCTCGATGAGTGTAACATCGGGATGAGCTTATATTCTTTAAAAATGTCATTAGTTGACAAGATATAAGGTCATTTCTTTATTATTGACATTTTTAAAGATATAAGCTCATCTTGATGTTACACTCTTCGAGACCTTTCATTTGAGTACCCACATATATTTTTGATATATTTTTCATATATACATATATATATAATATATATAAATATATAAAAATTGATGTAGGTACTCAAATGAAAGGTCTCGATGAGGGTAACATCGAGATGAGCTTATATCTTTAAAAATGTCAATAGTTCTCAAGATACAAGATCATTTCTCAATTATGTATCTAATGATATAGCATTTTCGAATGTAGCCTAAATACTTATTATAATAATATGACTATCCTGGACACAAAATTTTTCTTATTCTCTTAATAATATAGATGAGCATAAATAATTTTAATCGACATAAAAAAATTTAACTGATTAATATTGTATTGATCGCTGTAAATATATAATTTAATATAAACTTAGTAATGCTATAAAAATAGTTATTGATTTAAGGATTACATAAACAAGATAAAGTTAGTTGGACTAAATATAGAAAATATTAATTACAGAGTTGCCGAGGAAAGAAGAATACTTGACGCAAGACTCTTCAGTTTTCGCGAATGGCAGCGTTACATCCAGTGTCGTCGACGCACACTGATAAATGAGCACTTCCCGAGCAAAGTGCAGTATGAACCATTTTCACTAGGCAATAGCCACCTTTGCGTAAACTTCCATCAATCACTCGACGATAAAAGAGACCAGCCGACTATTGGAGATATGAAGCATAATTACACCCCCAGAGCTTTATTAGACTCCATGGTTGATAGTATCCATGAAATGGCTAACAATTTACAAGATCCTAAACCGTCCAAAGTTTTTACTCCATCTTTGACACCTCAGCACTCTTATCTTCAGCAATTACTTGAAGATACAAAAGATACTGAGCGAACTTTACCGAGTATTCTTCTGCAAGATTTTCCTAATACAAAAATAGGATATATAAAAAATCCTGAGTCGTAAGTATTCTCTCTTTTTTTTTATTTACAATTTCTTCTTTAAAAAATAAAATTTTCTTATAATACTAAAGTTAGCTTTGTTAATTTTTTGAGTTTTTTTTTAATTATTAAATTATAACTAAATAATATTTTTAAAAAATTGCACTTATAGTTTTTAAAGTTTTTTAAAAATTATTTTTTTTTTTTTTAATTTTTTTGTAATTAAAATTAATATTTTTTAAAGATTGCACTTATAATAGTTTTTAAAGATTTTTAAAAATAATTTTTTTTTTTAATAAAAAAAAATTCTAAAAATTTTTTAAATGTCGGCTAATATAATTTTCATATTTTTTTTCAGACTCAAAGAACTTGCAGCTCAATGTGACATCGAACTCAATATCGTCTACAATTCAGCGTCTTATGTAAGAAAAGTTATGCAAGTATTTGAACCGCTTACACCTAAAATAACTTTAATGCAAGGATTAAAAAAAATTCACAATAATTTAACACGTGTCGAAGCTCCAACTAATAAGACAATTTCTCAAATGTCAGACGACCCTTCCGATTATTTATACCGCAAGCGTTCAGGTAAAATTCTTTTAGAGACAAAAAAACAGCGACTTTTTAATAAAATGATGAAATTGTACCAAGAGCAAAGGTTAATTTTGGAGAAACAATTTTATGAACAAAATAATCAAACTATTCAAAAGTCTCCTGAAGAAAGTCAAATTATCCAGAATGAATTTTGCGAAAGCAATCAAAATAATCAAGACAATGATTACTTTGGATTCGGGCAACTGCTTCCGAATGGAAAATTAAAAATTCCAGAGGGTGACTCCGATTCTGATGACCCTCCAGAGAAAGAAGATAAGCTTGGTAATATTCTTTTGTCAAAGTTTGAAAAACAATCTATTGTAAATCCAATTTCTAATCCTTGGGCCACTAAGAAGAGATTTAGAAATCCGTGGTATGAAACGGTGAAACATAATAGACCCAGGCCGCATCCTCTTGTTCCTTATTCAAGGTGGTATAAGCAGAAAATAGAAGCTCTTAATGCTGCTGAAGAAAAAACAAAAAATACAGAGTCTGCTGTTAAAATTATTGAGCCGGAATCAACAATGTCGGATATTGTAGTGATTGTTGATGATAATAATAAAAATAAAGAAAATGGAATTGTAGAAGAAGAAAATGAAGGAAGAATTATTTATTTAAGTGAAGATAAAAAAAATGAAGCTTCAATTGAAAATATAGATTTAAATCAAGTTCCAATTTTAATTTTAGATGATATTATTGAAGTTGAAACAATTGAAAATAAAAATACTGAAATTGAAATAATTAAAAATAAAAATAATGGAATTGAAATAATTGATAATAAAAATAATAAAATTGAAAATAAAAATACAAATGAAGTTTTAGTGGAGATTTTAGAAGAAAATGAAGAAAATGGAGTTTCTGAAAATGAAATGCAAATTGATTTTGAAGCTATTGAACATAAAATAGAAATTGATATTAAAAATGTTCCAATTATTGAAATGAACGAACCAGAAGCTGTTGAGCTTAGTGACGATTTTGATGATATAATAATTAATGATGATGATGAATCTGCTAAAGAAACTGATGATAATCCGGCACCAGAAAAAGATAAAGATAAAGAAGTTATTATTAACGATGATTCTTCTGATGACGAAGTATCAATTTTAACTGAGCGTATTGACTCACGTCCTGACGCTAATCAAAAAGATTCATTGCCTGAGAAAGAACTGCTGACTTTATTTATTCCTTACAAACAGTATTGGCTATTGAGAATCTCCGGATTTCATGAAACCATGCTCAAGCATTTCAGGTTACTAGAACGCGAGTTTCCAGCTAATTTCCGATGGCTTTTTCGCGAATGCGTCAATATTATCGAAGTTAATCCTCAAGTTCTGTACAAAGAAATTTGCTTGGTGGAGAGTTACTATACTGATGTTCTTGCTCCTGATGAACATATGGAAAAGTGCGAAGAATATAATACTAAGTGGTTTCGGTCTAAATGCAATAGGACGCATATTACAAGAAGATGGACTACTGGGACGGATAAATAAAGACTGTGAATTGATATTGATAAGTGATTACTTTGTTACCTGATATTAATTTTAATAATAATTATTAAGGGTTTTATAACAATACTTAGTTTTTTTTTTTTTTTTTTAAGCAAAAATCAATGCTTATAAATAGTTTATTATTAAAAACAAATTATTAATAATAATAATAATTAATAATAAATAAATATATTATTAAAAAATAAAAAAAAATAAATAATATAGTTTTTCTTATTTATGTAGTCAATTATTTCTAATTTAATTTCAATTAAAGTTTAATTTTCTTTTCTTAAAATTTCTTCCTAAAATTTATATCTTCTAAAAGCTTTTACTAACCACTTTATTTTTCAAAACATAAATAATGATTAAAAGTATCATCTTCTTAAGCAAAATAATATTTGACTAAAAATTGATAAATGAATGTCTCTCCCCGAAACCAAAGTTGGAGTGACTCCACTGTTATGTGACAGCACTAATGATATCATCCAAATTTAAAGCTGGCGACAGGTACTTGATTAATATTCTTATATAAAATCACGCGCAAATCTTTATGAACATTATTTTTGAAATTTGTTCAAAATGTTAAAATATTAAGAGTGAAATAAAACTTACTCATAAATTATATTATTATTATTGTAATTATTTATTATAATTTACAATAATAATTATTATTATAACTTTTTATAAATATTTGACAAATTTTTTAATTTTTTTAATAGATATCTTATGGCAAAAAAATTGACATTTGTTCCTAAAAATTATTTAAAAAAAATTTCTACATTTCAATTTTTTTTTACCATAATTTATTTGTTATAAAATTCTTAAAATAATAAAATATGTGCTAAATTAATTTTCATCAAAAAAATAGACTTGTAAAAATAAAAAAAAATTAAAAATGCAATTTTTTAAAAAAATAATTTTTTGGAAAAAATTTAATTGTTAAAAAAATAAAGTGACAGCAAACTTTAAAATCACAAAAAAAATCTATTAATATTTCTCTGAACTCCAATTTAATTTATTCAGACTTACTTTTCAGTCCACCTGATAGTTGGTATACACAGAAGAGCTTTTACATGAGTAAGTATATAATATCAGTGAGTATCGCGCAATAAAACATAAATTCCCGTATAGTAGTGAATACTCGCAACTGTTGCGCTCTCTTACCGGGGGTGCGCTCGGGAATACTCGGGATCATTCGGCTGAGAGTTTCTCCCCTTTGGGCTGTAAGTTGTAGCTGGCCGTTTGCCGTTTGTCTGGCGTTTTAATTCTAGCTGTGCTCCAGACACAGCTGTGTGTGAAGCCAGTGTCACTGTCTCATGCTTTTTTTTAAATAATATTTATTGTGCAGTCGTATCGTGCTACCCAGTGAAAATAGCTACGTCTGGCTCTGAAATAATATTCCTATGGACATGGACATCCATTTTAATATCCACCTAAGATAATAATTACACCGTAAAACAAATAAGTATTAAATCCCATAACGCACTTTTTATTTTATTTATTTCTTTTTTTTAAATATTTATCCGTACCACTACACTACAACTGTCAGCGAGATCCTGAGCACCTTTTTGTACTTTGTGCCGTCTTTAATAATGCATTTTAAGTGGAGTGCTTTTTTTTATTAACTGTCATCGTTCAATGTCACTTTTTTTCTTTATAAAAAAAATCTCTGAAGAAATTTTAATATCAATTTTAAATTAGTGACATGATTAATACTTAAAACTTAAAAAGTTTATTTTTAAATGGTGAGTTTGTTATTTATATTTAGATTTTAATATATTTAATAATAATAATAATAATAATTATAACACACAAAATAAATTAATGAGACTAACGATTAGTTGATAAGTTTTGATCGTAGGTGGAAGAACAAAACATTATATTTAATCAAAGGAGAAATATAATAATGCCGGCTAGTGAGAGAAAACATGCTCTTGGCTCTCGCATGCTGTCAGTACGATGACATTATTATTATTCTTCTTCTCTCTTTATTCACCGATATTTCATCTTGCTTACTCTCAATTTCGTTCGATAATACTATTCCCGATATATATATATATATAAGTATACAAACTGGATAGACTGGATGTATTTATATATTTATATTATTAAGAGAATGAGCAAAATTTTGTGGCCAGTGTATTTGACAAAAAGGGTTTTTATGGGGAAATTTGGTATCGTTGGAAAATTTTTGATATATAGTTGTACATTTTCAAGGGTTTTATATCATTCATACTGATAGGAAATTTATGATGACAAGTATTTAGGCTGCATAAGAAAATTTATCTCTAGATACATAATTAACAAACTACCTTGTATTTTGTGAACTATTGACATTTTCAGAAATATAAGCTCATCCTGATGTTACACTTATCGAGAGCTTTCATTTGAATACCCACATGCATTTTTGATAAATTAATATATATTATATATATATATATATATATATATATATGTATATATGAAAAATATATGAAAAGTACATGTGGGTACTCAAATGAAAGGTCTTGATGAGTGTAACATCGGAATGAGCTTATATCTTTGAAAATGTCAATATTTAAGAAAGTACAGTGCAATGTAATGAAAGCCATTATTTAATAATTAAGAAACTACCATGTATCTCGTGAACGTTTGACGTTTTTAAAGATATAAGCTCATTTCGATGTTACACTCGTAAAGAGCTTTCATTTAAGTACCCACATGTATTTTTGATATATTTTTCATATATATATATATATATTTATGTAATATATATAAGAAAGTACAGTGCAATTTAACATATTAAGAAAACGGCCGTGTATCTTGTGAAATATTGACATTTTTAAAGATATAAGCTCATCCTGATGTTATACTTATCTAGACCTTTCATTTGAGTACCAACATCAATTTTCATATATTTTATATATTTATATATATTACATATATGTACATATAAAAAATATATCAAAAATACATGTGGGTATTCAAATGAAAGCTCTTGATGAGTGTAACATCATGATGAGCTTATATCTTTAAAAATATCGTATTTGACAAAATACAATATAATTTCTTAATTATTGACATTTTTAAGGATATAATCTCATCCTGATATAACACTCATCGAGATCTTTCATTTGAGTACCCACATCAATTTTTCATATATTTATATATATATATTACATATATGTATATATGAAAAATATATCAAAAATACATGTGAGTACTCAAATGAAAGCTTTTGATGAGTGTAACATCGGAATGAGCTTATATCATTAAAAACGTCAATATTTAAGTAAGTACAGTGCAATTTAACATAGTTCATTATTTAATAAAGCAAAATTTTATTCATTTATAGTTCCCAAGTTAGGGCAGTCACATAGTGACTGCAACGTTGCTAGTATATAATAAATATACTCCATGTATATAATACTAGAATAAAAAAGAGAGTAAAAGCTAGAGAAAGAAAAAGAGATGGAGATAAAATAATATTAAATATAAAGGAGTGCTCTTCTTGACGTACAATAACCTGTCACAGCTCAATGATTTTCCTTCCTGTCCTCATTACTCGTAAATCGATTATTATTACTGAAAAACACGAGGTAATTATCAAGATAGTGCAAACATGCTGATCTCGCGTTTTAATAAAATAAAGAAGAATATATAGGTATAAATATATGGATAGAAGACTGCTCTGTGACCGAGAATCCGCTGATTCTTAATAACTGGAAGTTTTAAGTAACAAGTATCCGCTTGATACTCGATACTGCCGTGCTTTATTAAATCTTGCTGGCTGTTATTTAATATAGCTTCATAGCTTCTCTTCATACTTTATTTGGTTATCTTATTTAAATACGAGACAAACGGTACACACCTGTCTTGTCCGTTAGTTTTAATGAACGATACACCTGACAGGAGTCACCTCTGATTCTATTGACCGCAGTATCAAAACATCTGAATATTATAAATCTTTATCTTAATCTTTATAACTAAATATTTGCCTGGTGTGCATTAATTTTTTTAGCAAGTCTGGGGTTCAAAACACGCGAGCAAACTTTATTTATTTTTTTTTTATAAATATCTATAGTCTGATCACGTATTGTTCTTATGTGTATTATTATCTATATTATTAAGAGAATAAGAAAAATTTTGTGTCCAGGATAGTCATATGATAAAATCGGTTTATTTAGTGAAATTTATCATGATAAGTATTTAGGTTGCATTCGAAAATGCTCTATCTCTAAATACATAATTAATAAATTTCCTTGTATCTTGTGAACTATTGACATTTTCAAAGACATAAGCTCATCCCAATGTTACACTCACCGAGACCTTTCATTTGAGTACCCACATCAATTTTTCATATATTTTATATATTTGTATATATTATATATATGTAATACATATATACATATTATGTATATATGAAAAATATATCCAAAATGCATGTGGGTACTCAAATGAAAGCTCTTGATAAGTGTAACATCAGGATGAGCTTATATCTTTAAAAATGTCAATAATTAAGAAATGGTATCGTATTTTGTCTACTGATGATATTTTCTACGATATTAGCTCATCCTGGAGTTACTCTCATCGAGATCTTTCATTTGAGTACCCACATCAATTTTTCATATATTTATATATATTACATATATGTATAAAGGAAAAATATATAAAAAGTGCAAGTGGGTACTCAAATGAAAGCTATTGATGAATGTAACATCAGAATGAGCTTATATTTTTAAAAGCGTCAATATTTAAGACAGTACGGTGCAATTTAACAAAAGTCATTATTTAATAGAGCAAAATTTTATTTATTTATTGTTGGCAAGTCACGACAGTCTTATAGTAACTGCAAGGTTGCTAATTATTCGTTATTATTATGATCATCGTTTATGTTTTTAGGCATTCAAAATATCTTGATGGGGCTTTTGTTTAAACGATTGATCTTATTGGTAACTAGAGCGAATTAATGACTCGATTTATGCTGCCAGACAAATAAATTTCATCGACCCTATATCCTATTGAATTGATCGTCAGATTAGTACTTGATGGTCTATTAAATATGTATTTATTATTTTCTTTTTTACTCTGTTATTGTATTATTTTATTTTTCTATAAAATTATATATTAGATACTAAAATTATTATTTTTTTGCAGAAATCTAATTGGAGGGGTCTTGATTTTACTCGGTGTAATTTTTCGGCTCTGTTTATATCCCAAAAATAGTATAAAGAAGTTGACATTATTTTTTTGGAGAGTACGTGACAAAAATAGTAATATAAAGCAATAGCCCTGGGGTAGACGATTACAATTGACCGTTACAAGGTCTGAGGAATTTAGTTTTAAGCTAAATTTTAATATAGTATGAAAACAAAGTCAATTTCATCGTCTTCATTGATATTTTTAAATCTAAAGAAGGATTTTTAACTTCTTTTTCAAGTCTCGAAAAAAAATCTATAAAAATAAAAACACCGGCGCCTTTTAAATATTAAAATATTCAAGTGTTTTCGTGATTTGGTTGCAGATGTATAGGATCAAGATTTTTGCCGAAAATATTAGTCTTGTAAAAAAAAGTTTAAAATTTAATTTTTTACTAAAAATTAAAATTTTTTCTAATTATAAAAATGTCAATTTTGAAATTGCGGCTTTTTTTATTACTCTTAAAAAAAATTATGAGACATTTTTTTTATAAAATAGAATTTTGGATAATTTTTATTTATAAAAATTTTTTTTACTGCCAATATTTCTGCCGTAATATCAATAAATTGACATTATTACTTATTAAGTGTTATTTAGAATTAGTCGCGTAAAAAAAGTAAACACTTCAATTTTTTACAAGAAATTTATCTTATAATTTATTCATACAACCAATTAAAATTCATAATAAATAATTGAAAATTTTTCTTATTATAAAAATTTCAATTAAAAAATTGCGGCTTTTTTATTAGTCTTAAAAAAAAATTACAAGACATTTTTTTTATAAAATTGAATTTTGGATAAATTTTTTTTACTGCCAATATTTTTGCCGTAATATCAAAAAATTTGACATTATTACTTATTAATTAAAAAAGTAAAAAATTAATTTTTTATAAAGCCAATTAAAATTCATAATGAATAATTAAAATTTTTTCTAATTACAAAAATCTCAATTTTTTAATTGTGGCTTTTTTTATTTATGAATTATTTTTTTTATAAAATTAAATTTTTAACATTTTTTATTCAAAAAATTTTTTTATATGACCAATATCTCCGCCGTAATATCAAAAAATTGAAACCTAATTGTTATTTTAAAATTAAAGCAAAAATTCTGAGCTGATATTTAACCAGTGATAGTTTGCAAGACGTAGAAGATAGAAATAGTAAAAAATTTATAAATCGATGAAAAGTAAAAAAATGCGTGACGCTAATCTTGGTGGCACGCGCGCATGACCCAATTGTTGTGATGCGTGAACAATACACGCACAAACTTTATCCCAAATAAAATAGCTAAACGCATATTAATGTAGGCTGACACACACAGACGTTGGAACATATGACCGCTGTAATATAAGCTGTGAGACATATGTTGATCGTTAACTTGCGAGACCTTGATAAAGAAATCAAGCAAAAGTTGTTTTTTGGCCAAGACAGCAAGACACCAACGAGCATATGCTTGTTTTTATCGGGGCAATTAAAAGAAGTAATGATGATGATGATAGTCTACAATGTACGTCTCTGGGGATTGTAATGAGAGCAAAAAATGTCAATGAATGCTTAAGAATTAACATACTGTGTGTTATGCTATAAAATCACCTTGCAGCGTATTTAATCTAGAGCGTAATATTTGCAGATTCATTTTTGTTTGTATGATATATGCTGTCTTGTACAAACACTTTGCAATGTTTGCATTAATTGTCTTTATTGGATCCGAATCCAACTGGTTTTGTTGTGCCACAATTTAACCACGTGTCTCATCATCTCTTTTAGCTTTTACTCTCTTAGTTTTTATTCTTCTCTTGATCTGTTTCTCGATTAATCTTTCGGCAATGTCACACCAGATTCCAAGTATTGATAAACTCTGTAAACAAATTATTACTCACAATAATGTTATTTTTTTAATTTGATTCGTCGAATCCTGACAATTATTGTCGAGTTTGTTATTTTATAAAACAATTAATTTATTGATTCATTTATTGTATTATTAAAGCTCATTTTACCGCAGACATCTTCTTGGCAATGATTTATTGAATCTTGCTTTCTGGATAGTTATTTATAGATTCAAGTTCAAATAAAATATTTCTTTATTTATTCTTTTAGTGTGATCAAAAAAATTTTGAATCTGTATATTATTAAGAGAATAAGAAAAATTTTGTGTTCAGGATAGTCATATAGTTTTTTTAATGAAATTTAGTGTCATTGCAAACGTCTTGATTTGTACCTTTTAAAGGTTTTATATTATTCTCACCGATAGGCAATTTATGATGACAAGTATTTAGGCTACATTCGAAAATTTATGTCTAAATACATAATTAAGAAATTACCTTGTATCTTGTGAACTATTGACATTTTTAAAGATATAAGCTCATCATGATGTTATACTCATCGAGACCTTTCATTTGAGTACCCACATCAATATTTCATATATTTATATATATTATATATATGTATATATGAAAAATATATCAAAAATGTATGTGGGTACTCAAAGGAAGGTCTTGATAAGTGTAACATCGAAATGAGCTTATATCTTTGAAAACATGAATATTTAAGAAAGTACAGTGCAATGTAATGAATGTCATTATTTAATAATTAAGAAATGACCTTGTTTCTCGTAAACTATTGACATTTTTGAATATATTAGCTCATCATGATGTTATACTCATTGAGACCTTTCATTTGAGTACTCATATCAATTTTTCATATATTTATATATTTTATATATGTATATATGAAAAATATATCAAAAATGAATATCGGTACTCAAATGAAAGCTCTTGATGAACGTAACATCAGAATGAGCTTATATCTTTAAAAA